CACCTCCCTGAGCCCAGGGACGGCGGCGCTCCGTCCCTCGCAAACGGCCGAGCTTGTGATTCTAAGCTTGCAATGCCGCCAAGCGCCCCCTGCCCGCCGCCCCACCCCCGTCACCCCTCTCCCGCGTGAGGTCGCGCGTCGCCCCCGCGGACCCTCCCTGCTCTCTCGTCCCCCTGTAAGATGCGGAAAGTGCTGGGCAGGGCCGCCGGCCTTGGGAGGGCGCTGTGCTCTGTGACGGCGGTGGGCTGAGGTGCATCTTCCAACTGTTGTCCAGCTCTCACTGCCTTCCTTTGTCGCTGGTCCCCCCACCCGCCCGCAGCCCCCAGCCCGTGGTTAGGTAGCAAGCCAGCCCCACCCTTCCAAAAGGAGAAGGCGCCAGAGGGTGGGGGGTGGACAGGAAGTGAAATAAACACTATTTGGACTGCTGTCTTTTATATTTCTGAGCACACGCAGAATGCTAGAATCCATCCCATGGAGGTGGGATGCAAACATGTGAACAGAGCATGCAAAGCAGCTAAATCTCCCTGGGGCCCAGTGGGAAGCCCAGGCCCCTCTGTGGCCACCTTCGCTGTGAAACCCCCCTGCCCAGGACGAACAGGCCTGCTTGGGATGCACGGGGAGGCAGGGATTATTTCTGGGGAGTTTCACAACTTGTTTCCATCTTTCTTTCTCTGTGCTGTAGTCACTGTTACTATTATTTAAAGAATGGGGTAGGGACGGGGCGGCCAGGGCATTTTCGTTGTGTTTTTTCGGGGGGGGGTTGTTTATTTCTTTTGGTTTGTATTTACATTTTGGTTGTAGATGAGTAACTGACTCCCTGACAACACTTGCCTGAGAGCATGTTTTTATTCTAGAAATCCCACATTCTGTATATTTGTAAGCTAACTGGAAGCAGTTTGCCACCTGCCCGGGTCTGAGCTGCATCTCCAGCCTTTTTAGTTTTGCCCTGTTGTCTCAAAACGGCAGGATGGTGAGGATGGCTTGGGCTGGCTAGGGCCAGGCTGGGCTGGCGGGCTCTCCGGGGAAGCTCGCAGCAGCGGCCAGAGCTACCTCCGCTCTGCTCATGTGACAGACTCCTGGAAAGGAGCCAGGGCTTTCATTAAGGGTCTCACAAAGACCCAGCTCCACCTGACCCTCCTGAAGGGGCCAGCTGGTCCTCAGGGTGGGCCCATCCCAGACCCCGTGGCTGGCAGCAGCTGCAGCCTGTCTGCCCTAAGATGCCCTAGAGGTGAGACTGTCTTTACCACCCCCACCCCGAGAACCAGCTGACCCTCATCCCCTCCACCATCCCTTTCATAGCTCCTCCTGTCAGGGCTGGGTTTGGAGGCAGAGAACAGTATGTATTTTATTGGCTGGTTTCCAGGTGCTTCTCAAAGTGCCTCAGGAGGCTGAGGTGGACCATCCTTCGGGGTTCACTGGCACACCGGAGGCCGTCCCTCTGCCGTACAGGCCCTGTGAGTGGGCGGCAGGGCTGGCTTTGTTTTCTGTCGGTTGCTTTGGAACAGGAACCTCTGTTTCATTCCCTCCGACATCATATCTCGAATTATTACTCTCTCCTCCACCTGCCTGGTGGCCTGCTGTCTCCTCCTGCCTGGTGCGTTTCTGCTTCCGCTGGGGTCTTGGGAGCACCCACCTCTGTGGGAGCCAGATTTGATCCTCGCGACCACCCTCCCTCTGTTTCCCAGCCAGGCTGTTAGCACGTGGCCAAGTGGCTGGGCAGCCACACATGAGAAGGGCCCCCTCCTTGGTCACTTGGCCTCCGCCACTGTTATCTGGGCTGAGGGATGCAGTGTCAGTCCATCCAGGTCAAGGCCTGTCCTCTTTCCATGGCAGGGGCTGGGGGCAAAGAATGAGGACTGGGTTTGGGGGGGGTTGTTTTGTTTTGTTTTGGTTTTTTTACAGAAAAACTACATGTACATAGAAGGATTTGATTACCATTAGAATTGTATGTAGAACTTTAAAAAAAATGGCCTTAATAAAATTACAAGCAACCTTCCTGGATGCAATTTTCAAACAAGGCGTTGGGGACCCCTTGAGGGAGCCCCATCAGCCCATACTTCGGTCTGCCTGGCCCTGCGTTCTTGGTGCAGACGGGCAGGAGAGCCCCATGGCCAATTTCTAGCATCCCTCGGCCAGGAGCACAGGTGACCTTGCATTAACTTGGCCCACGAGAGGCATAGGTGCAGAGATTTCCCTGGGAAGGAGTTCCAACCAGGAGCCCACAGCCAGACGTCCTCAAAGTGTTCACCACCCCCTCCTGGGTCTGGGCAGGCCTCTGGGGGTCTACAACAGGGGATTTGGGTTTTCTTCTTAAATGTCACTTCTCTACTAAATACTCTTAAATTGCCAAGACTTTTAGAAACAAGACAGCTTAAGGGAATCAGCCCTTTGACTTGTGATATGAAAATACTGTGATTTCAGGCAGGCTGCGCCGTGAGGGCCGAGGGCTGAGCTGGGGCCCCTGCGTAGTGTATATAGACCCGTTGCCTGCGTCCTTGCTCGCTTTGGCCAAGGCCCCTCAGCTGTGTAAATCTTTCCTCCGGGAGTATGAGCCAACCAGTGTGTCCCCACCTGCCTCGGTTTACCCTCTGTCCCCTGAGCCCTCTGGGTGGTGAGTCGGTTCCCCCATGAGGCTCGTGGGCTGAGGATGAGTGCCAGGGTCAGCCTCTCTCTGTGTCCTCTGGAGAAGAGTTTATGCCCCTGTCCCCCACCCATCAGCATCACCCCCTCCAGTGCCCAGACCTGGGGGAGAAGGAAGAGTCTTGGGATCCCTGTCCCAGGTCCCTGTGTGGACCTCCACCCCCACCCTAACGAGAGGGAAGACAGCACTATTTGGGGTACCCTGCAGCCCCTCTTTGCTGTCCTTGCACACCTTGCTTCCCCTGACACTCTTCTGGGCAAGATGGTGCCAGTCCCTTGGGGCAGGGGACCCTGAGGCCTTCAGTGAGAGGCTCAGGGCAGGTCAACCCTTCAGCAAAATTTGGGGATCCACAACCAGCAGTATCCAAAAATTGGCCAGGCTCTCTTGTGGGGACGAGCACACAGCAGAAGGTACCCCAGTTGTACTGGGTCCCACCCCACTCCCCACACTGTGGTCCACAGAGCTCCTCGGGATCAGGCCTTCCAGACCAGGCCAGGACAGGGGTGTGTGTGTGACCCTCTTCCCAGTGATGCTCCACACTAACCTCCAGCCTCCCTACTGGCCTCAGGGCCACTTGGCTGCCCGACAGGTGTGCACTGGGGGTGGGAGCCCTGCCTCGGACACTTAGCCTTTATGGTCTGCCTGCTGTCATCTGCTTGTGGGGGTTTGGGGCTGGGCAGGAGGGTTCTGATGTTGTAGGTTTGTTTGGCCTGATTTCTTCAGGCGGCCAACCTCCCAGGAGGATGTCTAGCCAAGTGGGCCCTGTCACAAGGCCCATGTGTCACAGTGGGGCAGGTGAGGACAGCTCTATGTCCATCTGTCAAGTGCTAGTGAGACCCCTGCATGGAGGACAAGAGGCCTCATGTCATTTATCTGTCCCACCAGGGTGGGTGTCTGGTTTGGGGGCTGTGTGCCAGGTGCTGGCTGTGGCCAGGTGGGACAGGAATAGGTACAGGGCCTGTGGGGGCCTGGGCAGGGCTCAGGCAGCAGGGGCAACCCTCCTCCAGCATCCTGGGCCTGATGAGCCCTCATGATCACCTGCCCCCCAGGGGGGCTCTGTTGACCTAGAGGCCTCCAGGGGGCTGAGGACACTTGGGATGGTGCGCCCCTCCTCAGGCCTCCACGTTTCGGCCAACCCTGAGCTAGTTCATAACCAAACATCCTGCCAGACTCCTGCCCCTAAGTGGATTCTGAGATTTCTGCATTTCCAAAGAAGGCATCCCCACCCTGGGGTACAGGCTGGGTGTGGTGAGGCCTGGTGGTGGAGACCCTCCACCTCCCCTGCCCCCCGGCCCTGACAGAGCAACAGCACCCATCACCCTCACTGGGTTCTGATGGAACCATAGTCAGAGGCCTCAGGGTGCCCTTGGCACAGGGTTGGGCACAAGGGTGCAAGGTCAAGTACCTGGCACCCCTGGGCCTGGCCCACCGCCCCTGCAAGTGATGCTCCAGGTGAGGGAGCTGTGGCCACCTGAGCACTTGCCTGAAGAGCTGGGGGAGGAGCCTCACCTACCCCTGGAGGCCTGCCTGGGGTGAGTGGCAGCCAGGTCTGTTTCTGCCCGCGTTCTCTGTGGAACCTGGGCCCCCATCCTCTGGGGGGTTTCACAGTGTGTGATGGGGGTCCCTGGGACATTCCTTTGTCAGGCCTTGCCTGGCCAGGTTGGCCTGAGCCAACTCTGTTTCTGGTTTCCCTCAGTCTTTGGAGGTCCTGGCTGCATGGGGCTCAGGCACCTCTCATAACCTTTGATGTGTCACAGGTGACTAGGCACAGATGAGTTCTCCCCCAGCAGAGATGGGGTGACCTGCACCACCAGGCCTGGGCAATGGGGTACTTCTGAAGGCACCGGGGGGCAGACAAGAGGCTTGTGACCTCTGTTCCTGCGTGTCACTAGCTAAGGCCCATAGATCTTAGGGCCCCAGGCTTATCCCAGGCAGGATGGGGAGCAGGGGCTGGACATCAGGGTGATGCTGGTTCCAGACAGCTCCTTCCATCTTCCTCCCTCCTGCCAGCACCCAAAACCCCATCCCAAGGAGCTAGTGACACGTGGGTTGCCCCTATCTTGCAGGGTTGTGGAATTCAGGGGCAGTTGATGCCTGATCTGTCACTTCTGACCTCCTGCCCACTGGGGACAAGGGGACACAGCTGTAGCACTTGCCACCAGACCCCAGGAGGGAGGGCTTTGGCAGCCAAGGCCCACTGGCCCTGCCATGCCCCTCTGTAGGAAACTGCCCCCTCCCAGGGGCTGGGTGGTACCACTGATATATGCAAACTTGCCAGTCCAAGCGCTGCCCCACCTGTGTCCCTCTTCCCCAGGCTGGCTCTGCCCCCCACACCCCCCAGCATGTACATTGTGCTGTAGATGTCCCGTGGGCCGCACGTGTGGGTGCCCACGGTGGGCAGGGGCGGGCGCTCAGGGCGCACTTGGCCAGCCCCTGCCCATCCTCTCTGGTGTGGACGCTATCGTCTTTGTACCTTTGCATCCTTTGTAATGAAACGTAATAAAAATCCAATGTTTTCGTCTCTGCCTCCTCCCCTTTTTTCCTGCCCTCTTCCCTCCCTTCAAGGATGAACCGTGGGTGTTGCAGGTGCACCAGGCAGGAACCACACAGAGGCCACATACACACACATATAGGTACACTTGAACTTGGACAGGCAGATGTGAGCCCCTCACACACACACCCCAGGATCCTGGGGCAGACGTTCCAGGGGAGTGGGTGGGATGCAGCAGCAGGCCTGCGGCTTCCCAGTCACGGTTGGACTTTCCTTGTCATTGCTGCTAGGGCCCCAGCCAGTCAGGGGGTATTCAGCGGCAGGCCCCCAGTCTCCCAAGGCCTGTGTCTGGGGTCCCTGGCCCAGCCTTCCCTCAGAGCTCGACCCCACTATCTCCCTGCAGTAGAGACCACAGCTGGCCGCTCCGCCACACACATGCTTTATTTTGTCCTCTCTGAGCTCCTCTCCCTCCACCTCCGGCCGGTGCTGATGGCCTGCCACAGTGAGGGCAGCTGTGAGGGTGGCTGTCATCCAGTGGCGGGTTCCCACCCCTTCCCTAGGCCTGCAGCAGCCGCTGGACTTCGTAGTCCTCGGGGATGGTGTCTGCGGAGAGAGAGTGAGCAAGTGAGGTGGGGCGGGGCTGGGCGGTGCAGACTCCCCACCTGCCCCGACAGGCCCCCCCCCCGCCTTACCGTTGCAGCGGTAGCGCAGGTTGGCCCAGATGATGTTCTCCTGGGAGAAGCAGAAGACTCCCAAGCGGCCGCCACGCATGGTCGTGTCCAAAACCACATTACTGTCTGCCACCAGCTCAGGGCCCTCATAGAAACGCACTCTGCGGGGTAGGAGGGGACTGTGATTTGGGCCCTCCCCTCTCAGAGCTTCAGTATTACTGTCCCAGAAGCTAGGCCCCCTCCTCTCTAGGAGTGGGGGCCGTGTGTCCCCCTGCTGGGGCCACACTCAGGGTAGAGGGGGTTCCTGACCTGAGCCTCAGTTTCCTTGTATGAGAGAATGGACATCTAGGATCCTGCAGACAGTAGGTGCTGAGCATAGCACCTGGACTTCCTGGCAGCACAGAGTGGGGATTGACAAAACGGGAGTGGATAAGACCCCACCTTCCACTGTGTGCCGGGTCCTGGGAGGGGTGTCATGCCCCAGTGCCAAACAGTTCATTCTAACTGCATCATTTCCATGTTACAGATAAGGGGGCCAGAGTCCCCTGAAGCACTTCCCTCAAGAACCAGGATAGAGCAGGGACACCTGGCCCCCTGGCAGCAGAGGGCTGGTTCCCACCTGATGTAGCCCACTTGGGGCCGGTGCTGCAGGAACCAGCGGTAGGATGTCTTGTCCTTCCAGCCCACGTTGCGGGGGTCCTTCCACAGCAGTCGCACTTGTGATGCTGTGTCCCCTGTGTGCCACAGTGCATTCCGAAGCTGCTCCCCAGGGCCTGTGGAGGACTTCACAGCCTGCCGTGCCCGGGAACAGAGGAAGGGGGTCAGAGACCACACAGGCCATCAGAGCCCCGAAACAGGCAAGGAGCTGCAGGTCATAGAGGAGTGGGAGGGCAGGTGTGCCTGGATGGGAGACCCACAAAGAAGCCTTCTTGGAGGCTACATGGAGGTTTCCAGGTAGGTGTGTGTGAGGTGTGTCCAGCAATGGCCTGGAGGCTCATGGAGAGAATTTGGGAGTCTGGGGACAGGTCTCAGGTCTGGGAGGATATGGGGGATCTGCAGGAGGGTTTAGTGAACTGTGGAAAGTTTGAGGTGTCCATGGGATAAACTGGGGTCTAGAGGACTTGGGGAATTTTAGGGTTTCAGTAAAATACTGGAGTCTAGGGGGTCTGCAGGAGGATTTGAAAAGGGAGGGGAATTTAGGGGTCTGTGAGAAGGTTTTGGGGCCCAAAGGAAGATTGGGGGACCCCGGGGAGTATTTGAGGGCCTGTGAGAGGAACCGGGAGGATTTGGATGGAAGGATTTTGAAGTCCATAGAATGATCAGGGCTGGGCGGGTGTAGGTATTGTAAGACTTTGGGGATATATGGAAGGATTTGGGGCCTCCACGATGTCATTGAGACCAGGAGTTCACGTAGGGCCCAGCACCTTGAGCTGGATGCCAGGCTCTGCCACCGCACGGAAAGGGTTTGCCTGCCAATAAGTCTGCTCCATCTGCTTCCACATGACCACGTAGAAGCTGGAGCTGTCCTGGTAGCCAAAGATGAAACCGGCGTAGTCATCATCCGTGACCGTGTTCACGTGGAATGTGCCTTCAAAATCCACGCCATTGAAGGCGGTATAACCTGGGGAGAGGAAGGGACGCTAGCCTCTGCCCCATCGGGGCCCAGATCCGTCCCAGACCCCGCCGCGCCTCCAGAGTCCAGAACCACCTACCAGGAACCTAAACCACCCAACCTGGCCCCGCCTTTCCTGAGTCCAGGCCCGCCCCTACCCCGCCTCTCCTCTGGCCCCGCCCCCAGAACAGCTCTCTGCAGGGCCTAGCTCCTCCCCGAGTCTCACCCACAGCCAGGCCAGGGTCGCTGTTCATCGTCTGCACGATCTCCATCCCCTGGTGGGTTCAAAGGAGAAGGGGCCTCAGGCCAACCGTTTGGGCCCTTGGCTCCCCACACACAGCTTGGGACCTGCTGTAGAGGTCCTGGGCTCCTTCCGCCTGAGCCCTGCCCCTACCTGGTTGAGCACCACCCAGTTGGGGTCTATCTGCGCGTCGCCCTCGGGGTCCAGCACGACCGTCTGGAAGGCCCGGAAGTCGGTGAGGGTGACCTCAGCGTTCTCCGGACACACATCGATCTTGTCCACCACCTTGTCTGCATCGAAGTCTCCCTGGCACGCATCGCCCACGCCGTCCCCTGAAAGGAAGTGGAAGACCCCCCCCACGGTAGTGGAATCAGCACCAGGCCCTGTTCTAGGCCCGGCCACGCCCATGCAAGTTACTGGCCCTGCCCTCACCATGCCTCCTGCTGCGCTCACACATGCCCCTTGCCCCACCAAGCCCACCCCAAACCTCATCCTAGTGGCTCCACACTGTCCCACTACAGGCCTTGCCCGCTGCCTTACGGTCCACATCTTCCTGGCCTGGGTTGGGCACCAGGCGGCAGTTGTCCCGACTGTCGGGGACCCCGTCGTTGTCATCATCATCATCACAGGCATCACCCTGGCCATCATGGTCTGAGTCCTGCTGGGCACTGTTGGGCACTGTGGGGCAGTTGTCCCGAGAGTCCTGGTGCCCATCCCCATCCCTAAGTAGGTCAGAGAGACAATGAGACCCCAGAAAGCCGGGTCAGGGGCTGCCCACCCTGAGCCCCCATCTCAGCCCCAGATTGCCTCCTTACTGGTCTTGGTCGCTGTCACAAGCGTCTCCCACAAAGTCGTGGTCCACATCCCTCTGGAGGGGGAAGGATGTAGGCGTCCACGATCAGAGCAGAGGAATTCAGAAGCCTCCCACTCACCCCCAGTTCCAGAGCCAAAGTATTCTTGACCCCAGTGAACACCGCCCCACCCCCAAGGCTGATTAGACTGGGCTAGAGTCTTGTTAACCAGCCTGGGGATCATCCCAGGGGTCTGACCCAGCTGGGGTCTGGATGACGTCACCTGGTCTGCGTTGCTCTTCTGAGGACAGTTGTCACAGGCATCCCCTACACCATCGCCATCACTGTCCTTCTGGTCTGAGTTGGGCACCCTGGGGCAGTTGTCCACTGTGTTGCGGATCCCTGAAGGAAGCAGGGGGACAGAACAGGACCCCAAGATGGGGACAGGGCCAGGCTGACTTCAGCAGGGCAGGTCCAGGCCTGGGGCTAGTCTAAGACCACCCCATCTTTGGCTCCCAGTAGCTGCAAAGTTAAATAAAGTATTCGTGCCCAGTCCCCAGACTACATGAAAGGATAGCGGTGAGGGGACTGGTTCTGTGAATGCACCACCTTGAGTCTCTGCCCAGGTGTAAAAATGGTACCTCCCTGGCCTTAAACCCCAGGCTCATGTCTTTGTCCTCTTACTTCCTTCCTGCAGCATCTAACACAGGTATCACCTTCCCATCCGCCTAAAGTTCATTCCTGTTTACCAAGGCCTCGTATCCCAGACTGCATTTTCCTGCCTGCCTGAAAATGGTCCGTGGTCCTTGGAGCCCTAGGCGAGCTCACCCTCTCGGGCTTTCAAAACCGGCCAAGCCCCGCCCCCAGCCAAGCCCCGCCCCTTGGTGCTCGCCCTTCCCTCTCCTCTCCGCCCTGCTGCAAAACTCACGGTCGCCGTCGATGTCGTCGTCGCAGGCGTCGCCTTTGCCATCCTGATCTGTGTCCTTCTGGTCGTCGTTCTTCTGGGACCGGCAGTTGTCGCAAGCATCTCCCCACTTGTCGCCATCCGTATTGCGCTGGTCTGGGTTCCTCACCAGCGGGCAGTTGTCCTAGAGATCAGGGCCAACTGAGGGGGTGATCAGGCCTGGAGAGGCAAAGGTCACTGCCCAGACCAGTCCATCTCCGAGGCCCCGCCTCTTCGGCTAGGACCCCCTCAGCCCTCTGGTACCCGCAAGTTCAGCCTCTGAGGCCACGCCCCTCACCCATGCAGAGCCCCCATCCAGTCTCCCCTGGGCCCCCGCTTTTGCCTCACCTCCTCGTTAAGGACGCCGTCCCCGTCGGCATCCGAATCGCAGGCGTCTCCGATGCCATCGCGATCCACGTCCTCCTGCCCTGAGTTGGGCACCGTCACGCAGTTGTCCTAAGGGTGGGCATGGCAGATATGAGGGGCGTGGCCAGGGAGCCCCGCCTGCCCTCCTACCAAGCCACGCCCCCCAGACCCCGCCCACCTTGCGGCATTGGCGCTCGGAGCAGCGGAGCTTCTCGTCAGGGAAGCCATCCAAGTCTGTGTCGCGGCCGCAGAGGAGCCCGTTGCCCGCCCAGCCGACGGCGCACTGCGGGTGGGGAAGTGAGTGGGTGCTCCGGCGTGGTCTCACCCCCATCCCCCATCCCACGCCCCACCCGGCCTGCTCACACTCACCACGCACGATCGCGACCCATCACGCTCCAGGACGCAGTCAGCCTTCTCGTGGCAGGGGCTGGGCGTGCCGTCTGGGCAGAAACGCTGTGGGCGCCGACGGCAGCCTGATGCCTGGTCGCCCACGAAGCCGGGCTGGCACGGGCCGCACTGGAAGGAGCCCTGTGCCCAGGCCACAGGAGGTCAGCCCCAGCCTCCTGGAACTTCGTGCCTCACCCTCCATCTCTCAATCCTTCCCTACTCCTTCCAGGCCTTACCGGCGTATTGACGCACACAGAGTTGGGGACGCAGTTATGCTTCCCGGTCTCACACTCGTTAATGTCCGTGCAAACCTGGGTGGGAGGGAGGGCAGAGGTCACCACTCCCACGCAGATACCCCCAGACCTCCCACCCAGATCACGCCTCCTCTGAATCCTACCTCTCCCCTACATCTTGCCCCCGACCCCGACCCCAGTCCCTATTCCCTCCCGCTGGAGCGAGGCAGGAAAAAGGCCGTGAGGCTGGAGATCGAGTTGACTCAAAGAAATTGCCCCGGACTCTGGCTCTTCCTGGCTACCCGCTCCAACCCCCCACGGCTCTCACCTGCTTGTTGGCCTTGGCGAAGGCCAGTCCTACGCCTTCGTGGGTGGGGCCGCTGTACCCTGGCGGGCAAGCCTCGCAGCGGAAGCCGGGACTGGTATTGATGCAGCGGACGCGGGGGAAACAAGGATGGGCGCTGCACTGAGAGAGGAAGAGCCCCGGAGGGGCAGAGGACGTGGAGCTAGTTTTCCCCGAGAGCGGTGCCTCAGGGCATATTGGGCTTGTACTTGGAAAGTTCAAGGGCCATCAGCTAGCACTTGGAGAGGGGTACCATTGTCCAAGGGGTCACACACGGCTTTGCCTTGATAGGGGAAGGGACAAGACCAGGAGGGGACAGGGGACCGCCTGGAGGGGGCTGTTCCTGGGACCCGGAGGGCTGGGTGCTCATGGGCGGGGGAAGAAATATTGAGGGCGGGCGTCCCCAGAGGAGGGGGGAAGTGGTCGTCGGGGCGTGCGTGCCCGGCGGCAAGGAGGTCTTCGGGGCGGGAGCCCCCCAGTGGTGGAAGGGTCGCCGGGGCTGGTGACCCCTGGCGGTGAGGGGGGTCGTTGAGACGGACCACTCTCCGCGGTAGGGGAGTCGTCGGGGTGGACGTCACTGATTATGGAGGAAGTTGTCGGGACTGGCGTCCCAGGTGGAGGGGGTGGTGGTAGGGGTGGGTGTCCCCCGGCTGTAGGCAGGTCGTCTGGACGTGCGCCCCTGGAGGTGAGGGGATCCTCCGAGAGAGCACCCCCAGCGGAGGAGGAGGTCGTCGGGGCGGTGGGGAGTTGTAGGAGCAGGCGTTGGAGGATCGTCGGGGCGGTAGGGGGCGGACGCACCTCGTTGACGTCGGCGCAATGTGAGCCGTTGCCCGTGAAGCCTGCGGGGCAGGGTCCGCAGCGCGCGCCGCTTGCCGTCTCGGTACAAGCCACGCCGGGGAAGCAGAAGCCGGGCGAGCACTGGCTTAGGGGCCTCACGGTTAGTCTAGGGGTGCGAGCGGGTTGCATCCCTGCGGGGATCGGGGCGGGGTTGGTCAGGGCCACGCCCAGGGGCGGAGCCCATCGGGACCAAGTTCCAATCCTGGGGATGGCCTCTGGGGGCGTGGCGAAATCCAGTGGTTCTGCGACCCCGCCTCGTACTGCGAACTTTGCCCGCCAGGTCTCTCCAGTCTCTGGATTTCTGCGCCATTCCGTTTTTTTGCTTCTCCCTCTGTAACTCTCCACCTCTCAGCATCTATCGGACGGTTTCTGGCTCTTTTTGGGTCTCCCCCTCCAATAACCTCTGTCTCCCCTTCCTGTTCCTCTCGTTCCATCCCTCATCCAATTTCTCCATCTCTGTCAGCCTCCGTCTTTTCCTCTGTCTCTTTTCCTCTAGGTCTGTCCTCTCTCTGTCCGTCTTTCTCTCCCCATCTCTTCTCGCTCTCCCGCCGCCCCATCTCTATAGCCCCAGCTGCGCTCACCGCACGCGTCACACTCCATCACAGTGTTTTTCAGGAACGTGATCTCCTTGACCTTTGGTACAAGGGGGATAGGGTGTGGTCAGCGGGGCTCCATTCCTCTCCTTCTGGCTCAGGTCTCCCTTCTCCCTCTCCCAGGCTCCCTTCCCACAGACCCACCCACTCCGCCGGAACCCTCTCCCCAGGGACTCCCTACTCTCAGATCCTTACTCTCCCAGCCCCTCTCCTCCTTCCCTGGAATTTCCCTCCCCCCTCACGGATTCCTACCCTCTTCCGCGGAACCCCCTATCCTTGGGACCCCCTTTGCCCCTTTTCCTTTTCCATAACCCCGGACCCTCTCTACCTCCACCGGAACACCCTTTTCCTGTCCTCCTCCCCTTCACCTACACTCCTCTTCTTCCGAGACCCCCTTCCCCTCCTCTGAGCATCTCCCTCCACACCTCCCCACCCCCTATCTTCCCAACTCTGGCCAGCACCTGCTGCCGCAACAGCTCCCGCACATCCTGCAGCGCCGCGTTGGTCTCCTGCAGTTCGCGCAGCATCTGCGGACCCACGTCTGCACCTGTGCTGACAGGGGGCGCTGGTGGGGCGTCGGGGCCCGGGGACCCCATCACCAATCCTCACCCCGTCACCGCAGGGACCCCTAACGCCCACCCCATTTCTTGAGCCTCTGCCCCATTGCGTGATTTCTATGCCCCGCACGACCCGGCGATAAGTCTCCGAGCCCTAAGAAGCCGCGACCCCGGGCCTCCTGCGAGTCCCCCTGCCCGTTTGGGGGTTAGGGGCACGGCATGGGGGAGGGGCAGCTTACCCAGCGGGATCTGGCCCTGTCCAGAAGCGCCGAGGGCGGCCAGGGTGAGCAAGAGAACGCAGGCGGCGGTGAAAACCATGACGGCAGCGGGGAGCTGGATGGCGGCTTACTCTGTCGCCCACGAGGCCTGCTCGGTCTATTTATCCCCGCGGCGTGGCCGGCCCCGGGGACGGCCCACCGCGGCCCTGCCCAGCGTCCAGCCGCAAGGTAAACAGCCGGCGCTGGCCTTCGGGTTCAAGGCCCCGCCCAGCGAGGCTGAATTCAGAAGAGGGGGAAACTGAGTCACAAGTGGCCTGTGCAGGGGTCCATGGAGCGGAGAATCAGGTGGGACCAACCTCTAGCCCTCTCATTCCTATATCTGAGTGCCTGTTGCATGCCAAGACTGGGGCATAGCTGGGAACGAAGCGATCCCCTCAGCTCATACTTGGGGAAACTGAGTCAAGAGTGGCTAAAGGTTAGGACTCATCTCCTCCCGACACCTCTTTCTAGTCCTCTCTCTCTATGGTTCTCTGGGTGGTGGGTAGGTGGCAGAGGCAGCCTGGTCGCCCAGGCACCAGGAGCCCACCCAGTCTCCCAATCTGTGCACTGGGCAGCACGTGTCCCTCCCCAACAGGAGGGTGAGCAAATTAAAAAGCTCCAGTTGGAGGAGGTCTGAGAGGGGCCCAGTGCTTCTGTTTGTCAAGACTTTGCCATACCTTCCGAGCTCCACTCCAGCTTCTGTGGGAACAGCCTGTAATAAAAATAGAAATTACTGCTAATCAGGAAAATCCTCCCAGCCCAGCCATGCTCTTAAGCTACAAAACACCTCTGTTTTCTGGAGTTAACCCTCTCCACCCCTACTCTGTAGGGTTTGTAGCCTCTATTCTAAAGACAGGGAAACTGAGACCCAGAGAGGGGAAGTGACTAGCCTACGGCCACTGCAAAGGTCAGGGATGAAGCCAAGTAGACTCATTGCCAGATCTGTTCTCCTGGGAGGCTGCAGAGAAGTCACTGAGTACTTCCTGGAGGAGATAGCAAGGAAGCTTAAAGGAAAGGAGAACTCAGATCAGCAGAAGAAGAAAAGATGAGGGTGGCTCTGGCAGAGGGAAGCATGTGGGGCTTGGAAGTAGAGAAATTTCAGGCACATTCATTTATTCTGCAAACATGCATTGAGCACCTACTGTGTGTCATGTCCTGTGCAGGATACTGGGAACAGAGTGATCAAGCCAGACTGGGCCCCTCCTTCAAAGGGAGCCCAGGTTGGTGGGGAGGAATCTACATAATCATCCCAAGGGGCCAGGACTGTGGTGAGGGATGCACAGGCAGTAGTGGGAGCTCCAAGAAGGTCCCTGACTCAGCTTGGGGTTGCAGGGGGAGTCCAGGCAGTCTTCTTAGAGGAGGAGGGAACATCGAACTAGGACCAGGAAAGTGGAGGAAGCCATGGCCAGATAAAGGGACTATGGTGGGGGGTGTAGTTCAGTGGTAGAGTGCATGCCTAACATGCAAGAGGTCCTAGGTTCAATCTGCAGTACCTCCATTAAAAAAAAGAGAGAAATGGTAGAAAGGCATTCCAAGTAGAGGAACAGCGTATACAAAGATCCTGAGGCAAAAATGAACTTGGTCTGCTGGACAGACTGATCTCAGGGTAGAGAGATCTTGGGGCTCAGGAGAAGTAGCACCATTGGTGCGAGGCTTGTGCTGTCTTCTGAGGGCAACGGGGAGCCACAGAGGGTGAGTGAGGAGGGGTGGGTCTGTGGGGGAGACTGGGTGAGAATAGCCAATCACAGCCTGACGTTTCCAGTGAAGCCTGTGCCCTGATGCCTGTGGTGGGGCCATGAGCTCACCTCCTGTTTTCCTTGGCATCCGGCACATCTGGGGGCCACTCCTGGCTGGTGCTGGCATTCTTGGGAAAACCATGGCTCCAGTGGGGCCTGTGTGCTTGTGTGTACCTCACACAACTGGGACAAGGGCACATGGAAGCCAGGCCCCTGCCACAGGCTGGGGCTTGGACACACGTGGCCTTGTTCATGGTTGGGCCACGAGGAGATGTGGGGAAGAACATTCTAGGCAGAGAGAATGGCAAAGACAGAGGCTCTGAGGATGTCCCAATCTCTGATCAGACAACAGAGATCCGGCAATGAGCAGTGTTGTTTCAAACTCCTGCCTCCTGGATCCCATTGGCCCTGAAATCCCCCTTTCAGGCAGCAGCCCCCTCCTCCCATGCACACCTCAGCAGCCTCACATTACACAGTAACTCACTCTGGGTGTCTTTCTGGCCTTTGTACTGTCTGTTCCCAACATCCCAAATAACTTCCTCCATCCTCCAAGGTCTCCCTCTGATGCCCCCTCTCCTTCAGGAAGCCCACCTTGTTTTCCTGGCCGGGGCTTAGGGGCTGGTGCCTGTGTAACATTCTCCTAGGATCCCTGACAGAGTATTTCTGGCAGAGAAGGTTGGGATGGCCTCACCCAGGGGACTGGGAGTGTCTGTGTTTGGTTCTGCTCCTCACAGCCTGGGGACCCCCTGAGGCCCACAGAGAGCACCTGCTTCAAATAGAATAACATTTTTGTTATTCCTTATAATTAATGTAACATAATTCCTGTTAATAGTAACCCCTGCTACCACTGTACTTTAGCACAGATTCAGGAGCCACATGCCCTACATTCAAATGTCAGTCGGGCATAGCATTGCTGTGTGACCTAGGGCAAGTTGCTTGACCTCTCTGTGCCTGTTTCCTCACCTGGAATGTCGGGGTGATCATTGCTGAGAGAATTGAATGAGTTAACCCATGCCCAGTGTCTGGCTCCAGTGTTAGCCTCGTTATACAGTGTGGGACTTAAACACTGTGTCAATTATGCCTCAGAACATTCTTATTCACATTTTCCTCAGAGAGGGCAAGAGACAGCCCGAGGTCACACAGTTGGAATTAGAACTGGGAAGGCAGGACCCCGAAGGCCTTCACACCACCCCTGTCTCTCCCCTTGGCCACAGATTCCAGATGAGGAATGCTAGGCCCCTTATTAGCTGTGACGACTCTGCTGCCTCGGACCTCCTGGCCTGAGCCGTTGGCCGGCACCCCAGCCAGCCCCCCTTTCCCACCACGCTAGACCCAGCAGTTCCGGGAGCCTGGCCAGCCCGGGGCAGAGGGGCTGATGCCTGTGTGATGGGGCCCCTGAGCCTCCTGGCAGACTCCTGCTGGGCCAGGAGACATGTGGGCGCCCCTAGCTTGCCCAGCCGCCTCTCCTGTGAATCCAGAAGGAAAGTATGTCGGGAAGGCAGCTGCCCTGCCTTGGGCGGGCCCGGCCACAGGCCCAGGGTCTGGGGAATTCATTAGAGCAGCGAGGGAGGCCACTTAGCCACTGCTGCTTCTGTAGCTGAGGAGCCTGACCCAGCCTGCCTTGGACGGCCCCTCTGGACCCGTCTCCAGAAGCACCAAGTGGTGAGCTGAGGGGCAGGGGGACAGACAGGGTGTCATCTGGGCATTGGAGTCCGGCAGACCCACTTAGAATTGCTCTGTGAAATTCATCAAGCTCTGCCGCCCCTCCCACCCTCCTTCCCTCCCCCAAGACCCTATGGACATTCCGCCCCAGGCTCTCTGAAAGGTATGATAAAGAAAGAAGAAAATAACAATAAATATAATGGCTACAATTTTTTTTGAGTAAGTTCCAAATGCTCGACACCTTGCCACATCATTTTTGTGGGTTTTCTATCTCCTTTCCCTGCAGTCTCAGAAGGCAGGAACCCATCATCATGGGAGGCAGCAGATGCGGCCATGAAGGTCTTGGTCTCTGGCACCAGGGCCCTGAGCTTCATAACCCAGCTCTGCTGTGCAACATGAGACAAGTTGCTTAACATCTCTGTGCCTCAGCATTTATTCTTTCTTTCTTCTTTTTTTTTCTGGTGGGGGTTGAGACACCTTCAATAGTTTATTTTAATGTAGATACTTGCTTCTCAAGTTTATAGAATGGACTGCAGAGTTGCCTCAGGGGAGAAAGGACTTCACCAGGAACCAACTGGAACTTAATGTTGCGGCATTTGATGGGCACTGATTTCTGGGAATGAATTTATACAGCTGTTATCTTCATAATTTTCCAGGAGTAGCTATAGCAGGACAAATGACCACCCTGATGTTTTATTCCCTTTTCCCTCACATTAAGTGAGAGTTTTGTAGGTAACAAAGCAGAACAAACCTGTGTCTGTGTTACTGGGAGAGAGACTGCCTGTGGCGCTCGCTATAGAAGTTTCCTTTTCTTTCAGTCTGTCTGTCTCACTGTCTAATGAAGTGAAAATGGAACTGCCTCAAGTTTTTTTGCACCATAATAGCAGCATGAGAAACCAAGGTGAAATGGGGGCAAGGAGCCCCAACCTCTTAGAGTCATCACGAGACCTGAATAAGTTAGTCTGTGAAAAATGCTCTCAACACTTTCCCACGTCGGTGGTTGTTAACGTCCCCATGCTACAGATGTGCAAACGGAGGCTCAGCATGGCAGACTCGTCATGTCTCCCTGATTTGGGCACTGGATGCTGAGTGAGGGAAAGCACACAGCCTTGCTGCAGGGAGAGGGTCCCCCACCCAGGTTTCTGTGGGTGGGTGGGCAGCAGAGAGCCCAGGAACCAGAGCCCTGCCTCCAGTTTCTCCTCCCCTACTCTGACCCCCACTCCAGCTCATTAACAGGAGGCCCTTGTTCAGGCCAGTGAAAGTCCTGGCGGGTGGGAGGCCGAGGGCGGGGCGTGTTTACCTGCTGGCCGCCTGGCAAGCAGAGATCCAGGCCATGCACGGGCCAGTCTGGGAAGGAGGCTACCAGGAAAGGAGGAGTCCCAACCCCTAAGTGGGAAGACTGAACACAGTAGGTGCCAAATAAATGATTAACAATCAATAGGATGAAATTAAATAACTTCATCTGCTGCATAAACATTAACCCCTTGCTGCACAGCCAGTGGGTCAGAGGTGGTCTCGGCCTCTCAGCCCTGCCTTGAAGGTGGCCAAGGGCACACAAACTGCATGGAACACTTGCTGCATAGAGCTAGGGGCTGGCTGGGCTGTAGGAAACAGAGCCCAAGTGTCAAGGAGGCCACTCTGTTGGGGCGTGTTGTTATCCAGACCCAAACAGGCGAGCACGTTCCAGGTGATGAGGGGTGTCCCAGGCAGAGGTCACAGCCAGGCTGAGGGCC